AAGTCTTTAAATTCTTCATCATTGACTCCATGAATTCCTTGGTTGTGAAAATCATAGATCATCTGTTTGTACCAGTTGTTTGGTAATGGAGGATCTATCCCTTCAAAGAATTTGCAATCCTTCTCCTTATCCTGCATTGGACGACATTTTGCATAGTGTAACTACTATGGTGTTTAATTTCAAAGATTTGAAGATAAAAACCTCACATTGTAACTAATATAGGGGTTACTTTCAAAGATTCGAAGACACTCACCTTGTAACTGGGGCAACCAAGGAATCTCATTCCAGGGTCGGTTTCCATGAAGTCCACCTGCCAACTGGTTCATCACAATCGCATCTTCTTCGAACTTGACTGGCTGACCTATAAGCACTACTGTTGGAGACGGAGGAGGAGGAGGAGGCCATATTCAAAACTTGCAATTTGGTCGATTTAGGGTTTATGTATTCTTAAATGACGTAAGAGAGTGAGGTATGGTCGAGTCAGCTTCCATGTAAGCAAAATAATGCCACATCGATTTGTTACAGGTTGCAAGAGTGGTAACCGGGTAAAATGGGTCAATTCGCCGGTTTATCCGGTATTCCATGTATTTTCGTTAACATTGATTAGTTTAGGACTTTTTCGTAAATACTGGCAAAATAATAGGACTTAAATGGAGATTTCCCTAAGCACATACATATAAATGCATAGGTATAATAAGAATTAAAAATATCAATAAATAATATTATTAATAATAAAAAATTCTACTAATATCAATATTTATAATGATAATTTTTAATTTTAATAAAAACATTTATCATAATAAATATTATTATTATTAACATTAATAATTATAATAAGATCTATTATTAAATCTTTTCATACTATAAATTTATTTAAAACAATATTAGTAATTACCAATAGATTAGTGATATATTTAAAGAAGTTTAAATTTCTTCCGGAAATCCGTCGTTCAAACTCTTAAATAATATAAGAATTAACTTTTCAACCTCATCGACGTGTTACCGATAAAATTTTATTAATGGTAATTTGTCGGTTGGTTACCTGCGGCTTTAAATCTGTCCGAACTCTGTCGCAAATGTTTCACTCTCCACCGTTATTTCCGACGGAGTTTTCTGGTTGGGAAAGAATCAGTCGGTATGGCCACGGTTTTCTAGTAGTGTTAGCTTGAGAGTCCAAACAAACTTCCAAAGTAACAAGAGTGAACCATTGACAGCAAGAAACTATAAGAAAGTAATATTTTCACCAACCCAATTCCGATAAATAAAATACTAATGAATCACATGCAGTCGCCATTGGGGAGATACCTAAGATACAAATATTCCAGGATCATAGCTGTCGTCTTGATCAGTATTTGGAAGCACCCTCTCACCTCCTTGACCTAAGGAGACCCTCTTTTGATTTTTTTATAACAATTTATAATATATATATATATATATATATATATATATATATATATATATATATATATATATATATATATATATATATATATATATATATATATATACTTGTGTGCATGCAAGTTGTATGAAACTTTTTGCGGTTGACTGAAAGAATCTTTGTCCCCTCGGTGGGTTATTAAAAAAAGGTCTTGCTTTCTTAAACTTTAAAGAGCAAGTTATTTAAAACCTGTACTTTAAAGTTGGAATATCTTTATTAACCGCCAAGATATAACTATTATATTATAAAGGCAGTTCTTTTTTTTAAGAGAGAAGGACTACAAAAAGGCTAGGGTCTTAGGAACCATCCAAAATGTTGTTAGTACTATATATAGTTTAGCAGGGAGATAGCTGTTAGTGGAAATGAGCATGTGAATGTGTACTTTAAGCACACCCTAAGCTAATGGTAACCCTTGAGTTCGTGAAAGGCAAATAGGCCTTTCGGGACCAAGAAGAATGGATGTTAACTTACGTTTATATTTGAACATGGTTGTCCTACCACCCTTGAAGTTGGGGAGATCTCATTTGATTCTATACAATCTGATGTTTGGCCACTTGGGGTTTTAAAAGATTACACCTTTAATTAAAGATCCAATCACCTTGGAGCTGCATAATTACTTTTAGTTTTAATGCAAATTGTGTTCGGTTTTTTTATGAGGGAATCTTTACCGGTCAAAAGGATCTAAAACATTTACTAATATCGTCATTTAATAGTTTTAGAAATAAATTGACGATTAATATAATAATATTATGTGGTCAATATATGTTTTTCTTATTGAGAGAGTGGTCCTTCTTATAAAATGTTGTATTTTACAAATCTATAAAACACAAGTTGTTGTGTATGGAGAAAAATTGTTGTGTACAAATTACTTCCCATAAATATATATAGCACACTACAAGAATGACGAGTATTAGAGGCAACAGACGTCGCCGCTAAAAGACCAGGATGTCGCCGCTAAAATATCGTCGTTGTTGTTTTGTCGCTAATGCCTTAAAGGTCGTTGCTAATACATAAAAATACACATATACATACATACTACACATATAAAAACAAATATACAAACATGATACACATACAAATACACATGTGTTTATACAAAATCAACATTATATATAGATATATATATATATATATATATATATATATATATATATATATATATATATATATATATATTAAAGGTCGCTGCTAATACATAAAAATACACATATACATACATACTACACATATAAAAACAAATATACAAACATGATACACATACAAATACACATGTGTTTATACAAAATCAACATTATATATATATATATATATATATATATATATATATATATATATATATATATATATATATCGCTAATGCCCAAAGGTCACTACTAATACATAAATATACATATACTTACGTACTACACATACAAAAACTCATCTACATACACAAAATCAACATACAAATACACATGTGCATATACAAAATCAATATATATATATATATATATATATATATATATATATATATATATATATATATATATGTGTGTGTGTGTGTGACATCCCATTTTTACGGCCAGAAAAGACCGATTTCGTTTATGCTTTTATAATAAAATCAGAGTAATTTTTCAAAGAAAAGTGTTGCGGAATTTGTTCCCAAAACAAAACATGATAAAAATTTATCAAAGCATTTCTAAAAGAAATGTATTTTCATTACATTACAAAACTCGGGATGTCATCGTCAATACCAAGGTTCCAAATAACGTGAGGCGTGGCTTGGCGGCAAGGTAAAAGTTAAGCCATGACAAGCCTTGGCGAGTCATTTGTCATGACGTTTTACAAGGCATGACTATTTTCTATATATTACAAGAGAGAAATTATAGAATTATTGATTTTTATCATGTATATCAAGTTTTTAGAAGTGTTATATTGGTATTTAATATAAAAAGTTAACAAAAACTCAATTATTTTAGTCCCGATAAAAAAATCAAAAAAAAAACAAAAAAAACCCGCGCCTTGAAAAAAACTCGCGCCATATTGCGATAAGGCGCGCCTTGACACGTTATTTGGGCGTCACGCTTAACAAACCCGCCTTAGACGTTTTCGTAACTGCTAGACCACGCCTCACGCCATGGCATGCCTTGAGGCGCGCCATGACGCGTTTTTTAGAACCATGGTCAATACAGATCAATACCATAAACAAAACATCATAGGTCACAAGACAAAATTGGCCTCAAAACAATATAGGCCTTACAACATTCTATTTATTTTATTCTGGCCTATAAATCCATAATCTCTCGTCAGATCATCCAACTATGCTTTTGTCACTACCTGTAATACAAAAAACTTAGTGGGTCAGGCTGGGGAGCCTGGTGAACATATATGGTTTTCAACCCACAATAATAAGTTCATTATTTATTTTCATCAAGTCATTAACCCGATCACCCGTTCCCGTTATCCTCACTTTACGCCCCTAAAGCATCTATTCTAAGGGACCTAGCCTATTGTTGGATCTGAGATGGATTTTCCTGCGACAACCATGCCTTCACTGACTAGGGTTTAGCAGTAGGAATTTCCCCAAACTTGATTGAGTTGTGTTTCATTGTGACAATAAAGAAGAACAATATGATTAGAACATCTTACTAAATAGGGCAGAATCGAACTAAAATAGGGCAGAATCGAATCTGCTCTGATACCATTTAGAATTCTACATATAGGCGACAGAAAAATAGAGAAGAATAAGAGAAGAGAAAAATCAATACGTTCTCATTGAATAATTAAATTTGAAACAGAAGGAATATAAATACTAAATAATTAGAGCCGGCTAGCTATACTGGTTTCCTTATAGATAAACTAGACTCTAAAAGATAATATAAAACAAATATTAAATAAAAACGTGTGCTAAAAAATTCAAAAATCATGTAAGAAAACTTGTTAAAATCCATAAAGGCTATTTCTTTCTTTTGTTTCTTTGAAGAACATCAAAATATATCAAATAGATGTAAAGTGTGCATTCTTGAATGGTAAGATTGATGAAGAGGTTTATGTAAAACAACTTCTAGGTTTTGAAGATCTATTTTTCCCTAATGATGTCTACGAAGTTGACAAAGCTCTTTATGGCCTCAAACATACTCCATAGTTTAGCATGACACTTTATTCAAATTCCTTGTTGCAAATGGCTACACGAGGGGTATGATTGATAGTAATTTATTTGTGAAAAGGTTGAAAACTAACATCATTCTTGTACGAGTTTATGTTGATAACATAATTTTTAAGTCTATTAAAAAGGGACAATATGTCAAGAGTTTTTATATCATGTATATGAATCCAATACTCTAATTTTTATATCATGTATATGAATCCAATAGTCTAAAAGTGTATATTGTTTGGTTGGTTGTATAACATTTCTAGCATTCGGGGTATACTATGTTATCACTATTGAGCAACATTCTTTCCCATGGAATATTACTAGTGTATTCATAATAAAGACTAATTAAAAAACTTACATTCCATAAACCAAAAAGATTATCTTGTGACTTTGTGCTAAAATAACTCACATGATATAATAACATAGACTTAATAATATCATGCAGAAATCAATGGATTAGAATATTCATACAAGAACATGAAACATTTGATGATACAATGCCAATCACATGCATGTTCTTCAGAAATCGGTAAGAAAAATTACATATAAACAAACAAATTTACTTACTACCCTCACCTGCAAATCCAACAAATTTTACAGATTTACAGTTGGAAGAAATCAGAAATACCAAATTTGCCCTCCAAAAAGTTAACGAGCTTTGGCAAGGGTGCGACTAGACACACCATGTAACAATTTCACAAACCCTAAGAAACTAAGCTTTCCATCTGTGTGCCTAATCCAATCATGCAATACAGAATGAACAGAAACTGATGGACCAAGGCCAAGTTCCTGAAAAATCCCCAAAAATAATTGACAAAGATTCAAGAAAACAGAATCCCATTTGGAAAAAGATCTTCAAGTTGAGCTTTTTCAACATTTGGAAAGTGGGTCTTTAAGAGAAAGTGATAAAGATGTAAACTTTCACCAAGAAAAAAAAAAAAAAAGATCATGTGAATATCTTGAAAGAATTCTGGAAATTTGTTCAAGAATTTATAATTTCATTAAGTAATTAATATATTAAATATCTTCACAAAAATGATTGTTAAAGTACACAACCGAATTCGAGGGTTATAAACACTTTTACAAGGTTAGCAATAGAACTTATGGCTAAAAGCAAGAAATCGCAACATAGTTTCATTTATTGTTTATTATAGTATCCTAATTTCATTATTACCTATTACAAGTTTACAACATTGTACTTTGAAAAATCTACCCAATTTTAAAATCGTAATTTCAATTTTATTCTTATTAAGACATTGTACGTTGAAAAATTCACCCAAATAATTTGGTAAAATATTCCAAGGACAATGTTGTAATAGAAAGAAATGAAAGTAGAATACTCCCCTCAAAACCAATTTTGTTCAAAATATGTTATAAAAAAATATGGAAGAAAACCGAATTCTAAACTTACTGAAGCTAGTTCTTCAATCATGATAGCCCTATTGCCATCTTTGTCAAATAATTCATATGCACATCGAGCATGTTGCTCCCATCTATCAAGAGCCTCAAGTTGATGAACACTTATAGCAGCCGAACAAAATTCATCAAACTCCATTTTTCTATATTGAAGCGCATTAAGCTGCATACGGATGATTTTATATATTCATCTAAAAGTTTAAAGAATACAACATGTAATCAAATGATGAATCTAAAGTCCTTTACTTATGTTGCATTTGTTAAATAGGACAAAACATGACTAGATCTGAACAAGCTTTCTAAGGCTATTTCCAAAAACACTGTAATTTTGTTCCATTCATGTCCCAACTTTTTAGGTGGTCCCAACTTTTTAGGTGGGACCACTTGCAGTTTTTGGGTGAGACAAAAAATTACAATTATTGTCCCACCTTGTTTCACCTTTTTGAGTGGGACAAAAAAGTGCATTTTTTGTCTCATTCTCCATGTCCCACCTTTTAGAAAGAGAAAAAATTGCATTTTTTTTGTCTTATTATCATTCCACCTCTTAGGTGAGACTAAAAATTACAATTTTGTCCATAGACATCAATACATGTTCCACCTTTTGGGTGAGACAAAAAAAATTCTTTTTGTCTCATTAACATCAGTCTCATGTCCCACCTTTTAGAAGTCTCATGTCCCACCTTTTAGAAAGGGATATAAAAAAACAATTTTTGTCTCATTAACACACTTTGTTCCACCTCTTAGGGTGGAACTAATAACTGCTATTTTTGTCCTATTGACATCAGCCCTAGTACTAAACACAGTATAACCTGTTTTGTCTTGTCTTGTTCTAAATAAGAGACTTGGGCCTTAAAGATCATACCGATGTTAGAAAATCATGGGCACGTGACTCCTTCATGGCATCCGTAGCATGCTTCATCAAGGCCTAATTAGTTCATAAGAAGTGAAGATCAATATTTCAAAAAAACTATTTTTCATATGAAGAAAAAGAAAGGAAAGTGTCATGTTGGTTACCAACCACTTTGATATTCTCCATGCTTATAGATCCGTTTTTGCTCGGTTCTAACAAAGAAAATTGCTCCTTTAGATAAAACAACTCATCTTTAGTCAAGGTCTTCACTAAAGCCTGCAAAAAAGGGAAACCTATAACTATAACCGAATTGACTATTTCAATTAGTGTTTGTTTCGTTTCTTTTTTTCTCATTAAGTGTGAAAATTTTGTGAGAAAATGACGGCATATTTGGGGAAATGGAAGGGAAAAAATAAATAATGACAAATTTGTAATATAGAGAAACCTTATTCCCCTTACCTTCTCTATGAAACCGTTTTTATCAGCATTAAGTAAAGAAAGAAAAAACACTTTCTTTAAAGAAAACAATCAAAGAAAAAGGCGCCATTAAGTCCATTAAGTCGAAAAGAAATAGCACCTTACTTTCTTTAAAAAAAATTAATAATAATAAAATAAAAACTAAAAACACTAAATTTGAATCTCAAAGAACATTAAAAGAACATACACGTAAAGCCGATTTACGAAGAGCAGAAGAACGCATGTAACCCTTCATGTGTCTCAATATCGAGACATCAAGTGGCACTTTCACATCATTAGTATTTCTAATCCATGGATGACCTACAACAACATTATTACATGCTAATCAAATCAAAATTACCAAAATGCCCCCAAACCTAGGACTACCCAAAAGACATAAACAACACATACCCAATGCTTGAGCAGCTGTCATTCGTCTCCTAGGATCCTTATTCAATAAGCGTTTAACAAAATCTTTGGCCTCTAAGGACAGTGTGGGCCATGGTTCTTCCTCAAAACTTGGATGAGCTTTTAACACTGCTCGAAAGATTCCCGATTCGGTTCTTGCCCAAAAAGGGCGACTCCCACACAAAAGAATGTAAGATATAACACCGATACTCCATACATCGGCCTCAGTGCTATATGATCTATGTAGCACTTCGGGTGCCACATAGTATGCACTTCCCACAATGTCATTCAGTCTTTCATCTACAAATCAAAGCAACATACTTTCATGTAGTTTTGTATTATAGCATCCTACATTCGGTTCCTTTTGTTATAACATTGTACTTTCAAATCTTTTCTCCTCAAAGCATTGGACCTTGAAAATTTAATCCAATTATTGTGTTTGTAATTGACTAAATGGAATGTTTTTTTCTTATTAGGGCATTATCTTTTGAAAATCTACTGAATTGGAAATTGCTTTGTATTTGGATGACATTGTTTATTATTGGAACGACATTGGATTGCAATGTTATATTATAATTATAAAAAATAAAAAATAAATAAAAAAAATCCAAATTACAATGTTGTGATATAAGAATTAAGAAGTGAAAGTTGGATGCTATAATAAAGAAATCAACGAATGTACATTGCTACGACATTATACATAGATAAAATTATTCAACTAGTGTTGTAATATCAACTTTTGTCTTATTAGGACATTATATTTTAAAAAATCTACCGAATTATAGGATTGGAAAACGCTTTATATTAATTAAATAGATTTTCCAAAGTCAAATGTTGTAATAGGAAGAAATGAAAGTAGGATGCTATATATAGAAAGTACATTGTCATTTCTTGCATTAGCTATATATAGAAAGTACCTGGCTTTACAAAATCCGACAAGCCAAAATCTATGGCCTTTAGTTGTGAGTTTTCATCCTTTGATGTAAATAAGAAATTCTGATTCAACAACCATAAATCATCAAATGATGTTTCAAAAAAACAAAAAATATATAAACAAATAACTTGTTTAAATTAGTAAACCTCTCACCTCTGGCTTTAAGTCACGATGCACTACACCTTGAAGATGACAAAATGCAACGACATTTAGTATTTGTATCAACACTACTTTAGCATCATCTTCTGTGTATTTCCCACCTCTATAAATTCAAAATTATTATTAATGGATTGTTAACGAATAAATTGAATGGAAAATAAGTGTCATATGCTTCAAAAATCGAAGTCATACACATAATAATACCTTGAAAGTATTCTATCCAAAAGCTCACCTCCTTTACATAACCTGAAAATGAGTCAAAGAAAGCATAAGGCCTTGCGAAAATGGAAAGAAAAAAATAATAATAAATGAGGGCAAATTAGTAAAGGGCTGGGACTTTATCGGAAAAGTGACTTTCTGTATTATCGTTCTTTTTGTATCGAGTCAAAAAGCAATTGATATATAGATTAGCGGATTAAATAATGTCCCAAATAAGTCTAATAGGTCAAAACAAAACATCGCTTGACAATTTTATACAAAAATAAATGAATTTAACTTGATTTCTTACTCCATTACAACATAGACGTTATCATTATCTTCATATGCATCGTAAAATTTCACCAAGTTGTTATGTCCAGTCAAAGCTCTCAATATCTTCACCTCCCTTCTCACATCCTCGATGGCTATGGCTGTTGTCATCTGAGAAAAAAAATTATAATTCATTTGATCATATTCAAAGCGTATTACAGATCTGATTACACCATTGCAGATCAAATCACACTCGTGATCAAGGGTAATCGCTAATTTTGATGATAATCGTCGGAAATGATGAGAACTTGGAGTTCAAAAATCAAACCTTTGACTTTGGAATGATTTTGACTGCAACTTCTTGACCCTTAAATTCCCCTTTCTTGAACTTAGCTTTACAAGTATGTCCAAAATGCCCTCTTCCTACCTCTTCACCAATCTCGTATTTGTTCCCAAAATGCTTCGAAAATCCGAAACTTTTATCCAATCCCGTATTCCTTTCTCCGTCATTTACTCCAGGTATCGCCGCCTCGTTTGGCTTGACGGAGCCATGCCGCCTCGCCAACGCCTTAATGTGCTTTGCCGGAGACGGCGGCGGAAATGGCCGTTTAAAGAACCTTCTGGGTGTTGTTGAATTAGAGCTCGTATTCGGCGCCGGAGATGATTTTTTTGAGAAAAGATAGTGAGCTGGACTTGGACTGTAAAACGGGAAAAATGGAGATTTTTTCCCTACTTCAGTTTCACCTTTCTTGCTAATCTTATCCTCTGATTCTTTTCCATCACTGTCTTTCGCCGGAATATTCGTCTCTTGGTGACCGGAAAATTTGGTTCTTGACGAGGGTTTGGAGCTACAAACGCCCATTTCGGGAGGTTTCTTGCAAGTCGCCCCTTTTTATGTGAACTCCAATTACGAAAAAAATTAAAGAGTTAATATTGCAAATCAAAATTTCTTTTGAGTAGTAGATAGTGTGAGATCTTGATTTTGATTCGACAAGAGAACCAGATTTCCTGATGATAAAAATTTTGGTTTTATGAAAATTTGTGATGATCATGTAGTTTGATATAATTTTTTTTTTCGAAAAAGATAGTTTGGATATGAATTGACCAATGAGAAAGTGGAATTAAAGAAAATTTAATGACGGTACTTTGAAGTTTTAACATCAATTTGGTGGTCCAACCATCGATTAAATGGTAGTTTTAACATCAATTTGGTGGCACAACCATCGACTAAATTATGTTTCGACTAAATTATCTTTAATATGAAGTGATAATTACTTAAAAAAAGTAATATATTTTTTCATATTTATCCATTCAAATTGTTTAAATATACACATTCAGTCTTTATGACCGGATACTCAGGTAAACCAAAAAAATACTTAATATGTAATATATTTCTCACTTTGTACACATTTATTCTTAATATTTTTTTGCACATTTAGTCCTTATTATTATTTTGTTGCAAAATAAAATTTTGTTGTTTTTTTATCACATTCAGTACTTATGAACGGTTTCTTTAAGTTTTTTCTCACGACATCTTACATAGGACAATCACTAATGAGATGTTCGGGGTCGTTCATACTTATGGTCGTTGCGGCCTTGATTGCTTGGTGCTCAAGTCTTGTGTTCTGAACGTCGTAACTTCTTCATGCGATCTCAAATTTTAACGATTTTTATATTCACGTGTTTATATTTGAGTCTACTACACTTTCGTTAAGATTACTCTCGTTAAAAGGTAATATATATTTACTTATGATTTTATAAAAAAACGTTCATACATACATTCATAAAGAACATATGTATATAAAGATCGTAAGTAAAATATATTACCTTTTAACAAAAGTAATCTAAACGAAAGTTGTAGTAGACTCAAATACGAACGCGTGGATATAAAGATCGTTAAAATCTGAGATCGTATGAAGCAGTTACGACGTTCATGACACACCAAATACGAACGCATAAATATAAAGATCGTTAAAATCCGAGATCGTATGAAGAAGTTACGATGTTCAGAACATAAGACCTAAGCGAAACACAAGACCTAAGCGAAACACAAGACCTAAGCAACCAAACAACTGAGGTCGTGGTGGCTATAAGCATGAACAGCCCTAAACGTCTCATTAATGATTGTCCCACGTAAGATACCGTGAGAAAAACCTAAAGAAATTGGTTAAGTACTGAATGTATACAAAAACAACAAGGACTTATTTTGCAACAAAAAAATATTAAAGACTAAATGTGTAAAAAAAAATATTAAAGACTAACTGTGTATAAAGTGAGAAATATATTACTCTATTAAATCACGTTTTTCGGTTTACCTGGAGTAGTCGGTCATAAGGACTGAATGTATACAGTTAAACAAATTGAAGGGGCAAATGTGGATGAAAAAAAACTCAGTGACCAAATGTATACAAATCGAAAAATATATTACCTTTTTAAGTCATTATCTCTAATATAAACCATAAAACAATATATTTAAAAAGAGAAAATGATAAATATATATAAAAAATAGTAATTTAAAATATATACAAAAATTAAGTTATTTCTAAATGTAACATGTGTTTGTTTTATTAGAAATTCTTTTAGAACTCTTATATTCGAGGGAAGCACGTTTTTATTGAAAACATATTGTTTTTGTCATACCCACGGCCGGCGGCGGAAATGTCAAGTTGTGCGATGTTAGTTGAATATCATAACCACAACACATAAAGCCAATTGTACATAATATTTGTTTATTGGGAACAAATTATTACATCGAAAGTTTTACAAGTCATAAACTATCTATTTCCTTACGTCTTGTACTCCCTTGGAATGATCTCCTCTTCTTCAGCCCCCACCCACACGGCATCAATCACCGCCCTATGGCAACCGTCGCACATCACAACAAAGTAGTCGGTTACAACCGCGATCGAAGCGCCTTAGTCAACAGCGACTCAACAGTCACAACCACTGACCCAACTGTCCCAACTGTCGACTCAGCAGTCGCAACCGGCGGTTTCTCAGCCGCAAACGCAATCACAGCAGGCGGGGACGAACACTTGGTCCCTAGGGACCATACTGTCTTCCACACAATGCCCAATGTCAAGCTATCAGTTCTCTCTAGTAGCAGGAATGTCGCATATCTGCTTTTCACTCAACAACCTTCGATGTTCAACCTCTATTTTCAGCAGTCCCACATATCCAACCACCAAACATCGTCGTCGTAAGAGTCTAACCCTCACTTGTCATTGATGTAGCAGCTCAACACCTTCACTCAACAACCTCAGGGGTCAATTTCGAATATGCTCCAACAGCCAGAACAAAGCTCACAACTGCAACAAAGCACGCAATCGAGCTCCCAGCAACAACCATACATCTCACAAGCAGCAATGTACAATCAAGTATATGGGAACCCTTATTACGCTCAACAATTTACGATGTACAGTGGTTTTTCATACTCTTGCATGGAAAACCCGGTGAGAAGCACCAATTCTGCCTTTTTCCAGGAGCTCTTGCAGTATGAGATCCCATATTCAGCGATGATGCCAAATATCCCCAAGTATGACAGAACAACTAACCCTAAAGAGCACATCGACACCTATGAGTGGACGATGACTTCACTAAGGATGGACAAGCAGTTCATGTGTGCGTATTTCCCTGTTATGTTATCCGAAAACAAAGGAAAGTGGTTTAAGGCGCTGCGATCCGACAGCATCGTGGGTTTCGAACAACTAAGATACATTTTCTTCAACAATTTCATGCAACTTGGGAAGGGGAAGGGAGATGCAAACTCCATAATGGCATATAAACATAAATAAGGAGATTCGATACGGGCATATTACGATAGATTCACACTGGCGACACTCAACGTCCCGGGCCATGAAGAGTTCCTTGTAACCGGTGCCTTCACCCAAGGTCTACTCCCCGACCCTTTGTCAAAGAAAATGCACAAGACGGTACCTCAGTCGAGAGACGAGCTCAAATATAGAGTCAAGAAATACCTCCGATAGATCGAGGGTGGGGAAAAGAAGGAAGCCAACCTAATGGTCGTCGCAAACGCGAACATCAATCAAGAAGAAGCAAACTCCCACTCAATCCCCAACCACCGGGATAACGATGAAAGAAAACACGATAGAAGCCATGACAAGTACAACCGACACTCAAGACACCATCTCGCAGGTTTCACCCGTTTGGTAAAGACGAGCCCCGGAGCCACCGATTCGAGGTGCATGTAGTATAGAAAACACCTCCAAAGCTAGACAAAGAGAAAGGGAAATATTGTGAATACCACAAGAACAAAACCCACGATACCGACGAGTGCACGGTTCTGAGGAAGGAAATGGAGGAGAAACATCTGACGGGCGGCCTCACGACAATTGCAAAGGATTTGAGGTCCAAGTTTGAAGCCGACCAGAGAAACGTCCAAGATTGGAAAGAGAATGGAAAATGCCAAGTTAAGGAGGAGATTCTTACCATTGCGGGACCTCACGAGAGGAGCGAGCGTCATGAAGCAGACAACAATATTGAGGTACTACCTAAAAACATCCTTAATATTAGCTTCTCAACAAAAGATCCACGAATGCTCAGCTAGAACCCCAGGGATCCACTCGTGATAACTGATGGGTTTTCTATGCTACAACATCCTATGGTGCACATACAAACCTATAAACCTTAGATCTATGTTTTCTCTATTATACATGCAAATATTCAATATTCCAAGGTTTCATCCTAACTAGCATAATATGAAGTATATACAATACAAGAATCTAGTAGAATGACATACCTCTTTGTTGTAGCTTGATTCCATGGAGCTTAAGAGCCTAGTGCCCCAAATGTGACACCTCAAATGGCTCACACAACACCACCAACAACTTGGAATAACTTGAGAGAAAAGTTCTTATGCTCAAAATCGGCTAGCCCTTCATGTGAATCCTTAGGGCCGATTTCTTGAGCTATGGGGTCTTTATATATTGTGGCTATTAGGGTTACACCATGTAACTCATGACTTTCCATATTCCTCATGATCCATGGGTTTTAACCTCCATGGAGTATCCATGGGTTACCCCATGGGTTTAGCCCAACATGAAGAACTATGGGTCATAAGCCTACATATATAAGAATGAATGATTTACAAAATCAATCCCCATATATTTAGTTAGTCTCTTTTGATCACAAAATTAATTCCAAATTAATTCTTGATCAATACTAATTAAATAATATGATTTCATATTAATTTATTAGAACTTATAATATATTAATAAATCATGAATATCCTTTTCTCACAAAAATCTATCCAAATTGTTCCGATGCCATGCAACCCAAATGGACCATGCCAAATCGGGTCAAGTACATACCAATTATAGTTATGGACTTAGACACTAATCTAACAGTCTCCCACTTGGATAAGTCTAATAACTATTATTGCAAGTATGACTCTGCAACCTGACTAGCAATCGTAGCTCTAAAATCCGTTGTCGAACTCTGAACAAATCAATGGTGCGTCCATTAGATAAGGGATCATATATTCCTCCATTCTAGATATCATATGGACTGAGACATGGATTATAATCATTCTCTCTGTCCATCTGTTGTTTCCCGATTTCCGATTTATGACGACCGACTAATTGAACAAATCAAATCAGTCCAGGCCCGACTGAGCACTTACGTTTGTCATCACTAAATCATCGAGGGGCCCACAGATATCGCTTTTATCCCTCCAAGGGTAAAAGGAATGGATAAACTTCGACTCATATGCTTGCTCTACTTACGCACCAAATCACACACAACAATGCGTTTTATAACACCAAGTTACTGGTGCGTTTTCACATATCAGTGTGCAACCGACTTGTAGACCGCAACTCATATATCTCCGTTTAAATAATATAAGATATTATTGTATCATGATCACTCGTGATAAAATCCATGAAGTGATTCAAATGAGTGTGGGTTTAATCCAATACTCGAATCTTATTCCAGGAGCACTCATGAATACTACAACTATGTCTAGGCCACCTAGACAAACTACAGACCCATTCATGACAGTCTTTCCTCAATACCTACTTCCAAAGTATGATTGACTGCGGACGGTTTGAATAACCTAGTTATTCGGGGAAGTCAAAACATGCAAAGTGAAACACAAGAATAATACTAATCCTATATGGCCCCGAACCTTTTGAGCCATATTGATTA